TGACTTGCCTCCGCCTAAGACTCACCGCGTCGTATCCGTCTCGGTTTATTGCCGGCTGAGTCCTCGCCGGCATCCCAAGGCCTTCCTGCTCTTGCCTCGACGATGCCGTATGTAGTTTTGGGACTGCTGTGTGTCATGTTTTCCCCCAAATTGACTGACCCCCTCCCTCCAAAAAAAAGCAACATATGTTTTGCTAAAGTGTTTATTACTACTCCATCCGTTCCGAATTACTTGTCGCAGGTATGGATGTATCTAGATATATTTTAGTTTTAGATACATTCATTTTTGCGACGAGTAATTTGGAATGGAAGGAGTAGTACGTAGGTGGCTAAGAGCAACTCTAGCAGACCCCGCAAAACAGCTTTTGCGGGCCGGCGCGGGCTGGCACAGATGCAGACCCCGCAAACGGATCCGTAAAAAAAATATTCGCGGAATATACTTTTTTACGGGTCGGCTATGTGGGTTTTGCTCGGACACCACCGTGACGACCCGTAAACAAATAAACTGCAAATCTCGCATTTGACATAAGATTTCACAAACAAGTTCAAATTCAAACGACACAAACAATTTTACGCGTAAACAGAAGCCAAGTTCATTACGGCTAACGCAAAAGAGGGCCCTGCAAAAGGTTTGCGCCCATGTCCGGCATCATCTTGATCGATCTTCACTCCACGCCATCGAGTCCACCTTGGAGTTCATCGGCGCCACTGAATCCACCTCCGGTGCTTGTTCGAAAGGGGCTTGATCAATATCAACCGCGTTCGTGTCCAACAAGTTCATGAACTCGGTTGTTCCATTGTTCGAACCACCGCTGTAGCGAACGATAACAAGTCACGCGCTATCGAGAATAATGGCGAAAAATGAAAGGGAATCGCCAAGACCGAAGGCGCATACCTTCCGGCCATTTCGTCGAACACCTCGCTCGCGGGGGGAGCGACACCGTTGAACGGCATCGACGGAGCCCCTCCTTGCGGCGGGATGGAGCGAGAGGTTGAAGAAGGTGGCTTCTTTGAAGCTGGAACCTTCCTCCGCTTTACGCATGCGACCTTGCCGACCTTCTCCGCCGCCGGCCGGGATCGCGCTGCCGCGTTGGCGCCCGGAGCGCGGGCCATCGCGGCGGGGGTGGATGGATTCCCGCCCTGCACGACAACGTTGCCCTGCCGCTTGCGTGCAGGCGCGGCTTGGGCTTGGGCGACGGCGGCAGGGCCAACTTGGCCGGCGACGAGATCCGCCCAAGCGGAAGGGGCGTGGTCGACCTCGGCGATGACGGGGACAGCAGGGGGTCGTCCATGGCGGCGACGGACGGCCGGGGAAGAGCACCCGGAGCTTGCGGAGTGGGGGCAATGGTGGCGGAGGGTGCGGGGAGCGGGAAGGGCCGCGCGGAAATGTCCCTCCCGCCAAATCTCGCGCGGGATAGGGGTTGAGCTCGGGTCGGCCTCCCAGCCCGTGAAGATAGAGGTTGGGGGAGAAGATTTGTCGCGCCCCGCAAAAAAAATTACGAGCCGGGGCGG